GGGCCGGCTCGCCCGGTGCAATACCACGACCACACAGAAAACAGGCGTGAAGTGGAAGCAATTCCGCGTTTCGTCTGTGTGTGGTGCCGGAGGCCTAATTTTGGAGAGGTGGAGGAGACGTACGTAGAAAGGGAAAATTTCCTCTTTATGTGCGTCTCCTCCTCCGTCAATTAAGGGTAGGCAACGCATCTGCAATTGCGGATGTTTATGGGCAGCGGTCGCTTTCCATTTCAGTGGATTTAGGTGGCTGCTTGCTCGTTTGCCACCTTATATTATAAAAAAAAAATTAAAAATAAAAAAAAAACAAATCTATCCTCTTTATAATATTAAAATAGACATAGTAGATAAATAAAACGACAATTAAGCGAAGATTTAATAACTTAATAAATCAAGTCCATTCAGCCAACTTTATTGCTTATATCACGATTTTACAACATTATAACTGGTTTTATATCTATTCTTACATTCAAGTAAATATCATTTGCGCATTACAATACACGTAACATTAACGTAACGTAATTCAATTTAATCATTATTGTACATAAAATACAGTGAATTTATTCAATAATTTGTTGGCAGGAACCATCCAATGCTCTCGCAAAGCCGTGTAAACATCCAGCAGAAAACGCAGACCTAGAAACTGCATCGTTATCATTCCTTGACTCTTTCTCCCTTTGGTTATCTATAAGACAGTATCCATTCTCTGTTAAAAACATTCCATTTGGACAACCAGGTTTAATTGCAAATTTACTGTCCGGGAAAAGAACTCTCTCGTCTGTTGTATTCTTTTCTACAATTACAACACCATCGTTGTAGGTTATAATTGGAGAATTCATAGGTCCAGGGAATTTGATATTAGTGTTAGTTTTTGTTAGATCAATCGAGGTCACTTTGACAGAACTTTGTTCAATGTTTAAACTTGGATCTGTTACAGAATTTAATAGATTATTTGTGGTTAATGCATCTTTATTGATATCTTCTATTGATTCGTTTAGTTTCTTGTTCGGTATATTGTAATTAACAAAAAAATTTACATCAACATTTACTTGTATTGTAGTGTTGTTTTTTAATTTCGTTGAATTTTGCAATTCAGAAATAATTACGTTACTTAATACGCTTTGTGCTTCTTCATGTTTTGCGTTTGTATTTATTTCAATTTTGTCTTGGAATGTACCATTCGATCCATTTTCAATGTATCCAGCAACTTTACTCACTTCATTAGCCACTGTTTCCACTAAATTTTTCACAACACCACATTGATTACTTTGAAAATGTACTAAAACTGAACAGATTAATAATAAAATCTTCATTTTCGCAGACTTTAAGAGTAAAATCAGGTGTTATTTGTATGAAATATGATATTATATTGAACACAACTTGTTCGACTGTGTACGAAACGTCTGCGTGATAGAAGCAAAGGTTATCAAATATTACTCGGAATTTCGCTACGTAAGGACAAATCTGTGTCTATTTTATTCCTCCTTTCGTTCAGTGCAATTGAAATTGTGTATTATCAAGAAATATATAGATTTTGTAAGTCTTTTCTGAAAACACATATTCGTTTGTTTGTTCTTTACATTTAAATTGCGTGTTTTTTAAAGTTTTTGGTTTTTATTAAATAAACTAGCTGTTCCAGTGCGGCTTCATCCGCATGAAATGTCAAAATTCAAATGCACAAATGACTATTGCTTCCTTTGTTGGCTGCAACGTAGTCTCTTTCCAACATTAGGATTTTTATCCAAAATATTTACCCCCTAAGTTTACTGGCGTGAAAATATAGAGCCTAAAGCGTGAAAGTAAGTGTAGGGCTTTTTATTAAAAAAAGAACTATTCAAGAACATGCTGTGATTGTTGATATCTTAGGCAACAAAGAAGTTTGTGTTTACGCTTTATTATAATAGTCTAGATTACTCTCATTTACACATAAATTATAGTCTAAAAAATTCTTAGAAATAAAACTATATGATAAAATAAAAGTCATTTATATTTTTTGCATTATTTTATTATTAACTTAAATAATAATTTAAAATAAACTTATCTATCAGCAAGGACACGACTAGTTGTATTTAAGACTAAAAGTTAGAGTTAAATTGATGGCTCTACGTAAAGGAGTGTAACTACCACTTACGTATTTTTCAATTATTAGTAAAATAGTTATATTTTACCATTCCAGGCAAATAGGAGTAAAAGAACAAATTGGTAATGTATAAAATCCAAACAAAAAACGTCCAAATACCGTTTAGTAGGAAACACTCTAAATATTAAGAAAATATACATAAAATTATTTAATTATGAATAACATGGCTTTAAATATTGAAATAATAGATTTAACATTTATTATTTAATAGGTATTTAACATAAAAAGCAGTTCCGATACCTTTCACTCTTCGTCTGTAAATTTTTCACTTAGGACATTTACGTAGGAGCCATCAAAGTTGCAATCTATACGTCAAACTTTTTCGTATAACATATTACCGGACATTCCTACCAGAATAAGGAAAATTGGTAACAGAAACGTTATATAACTAAGTAATATTTTGTACTTAATTTATAAGCAAACTTTTTAATTATCTTTATTGTTGTTACTTGTTATTTACTTAAGTATGAAGTAATCTACGAGTAATATTTTTAAATTATAACTACATATAATATTTTTACAATATCTTTTTGGTATCAAGAATAATTATCTTATTTCCACTAAACGATTACTGCTATTTCTGTTAGTGAACCTAACAAAATGTTACGGACATGTACTAAACAGCAATTGTGAAGATCTTTACTAGTGGAAATGGGGTTTAAATACACATGAAACATTAAATATAATTATATATTTTTACCCTTAATTCGATAGTATCCGAATAACAACTAAATTTAGGGAAAAATACGAGAGATTTTAATTTTAGTGAACTGTTAATGTTTTTTTTTGCTACAAAATACTCCGTCGAATTAAGGAACTATCATGGTTTTTAAATTGTGATAAGCTCGTATTCTATAAACATTACATTTGTAAAAACCACTACAGAAAATAATATAACGTAACTAAAATTACCACTTCTACTGAATGACGAGTTGAGACAGAAGCAATTTCAGTTCATTTGCATACAACTGTTGTAAACAGTTGGAAACAGGGCTTATTAACATGTAACGGCAGAGTTATAAAGAGATTGAAAATATATAAGAAGGCATAGTTCACACTTCACAAGATATTTTTCACATAATCATAACTAACGCCATCTATTAAAAGATCCCAAAAACCATCAATTGCATTTAAATTATTTGCCAATAGATGTCATTAAATTATATTTTAATCAAAAGATAGAGCTTATTTTAATTTTGTAAAATGTTTTAGTACATGTAATACACACGAGATGGCACTAAACTTAACAACTGATATACTTTTCAGATAAAGTACTGATGGAAAAATACTGCCTCGTTAATGTATTTTTTAAATATGTATTATGTGACCTCGAAGGAATCAGAAAAGCCACTATAAGGGTAGATTCCACCGAGGATATATTTGTAGTTGCCGAAATGGTGCAAACGGTAGGTACCGCGTGGAGTACCCGCGGGTATCTCCCACTCTACTTCCGCATGGCTAGTACCTAATATCTTCGAGTTGCGGTGCCATATGTACCTGTGGGGTAGACAGTATTAAACCTTTCTAATTGTAACTAGTACATTGCTGAATAGAGACTGTCAAGAATAAATAAAAATGGTTCTTTACAGTTTTTTTCAATAAAGAGTTATTTTAGGAAGGTTTTTTACAATTTATAAATATGTTTTTTAAAAGACTTCTTAAAGAAGGTTTATTTCGATCAACTTTTTTCTCTGTGATCGATTACGCTGCGATTTATGGTCGAATTGACGTGATTTATTTTTGTTTGTTTATATTTATATACTAGAGTAGTTTCTGAGTTTTTCTTTAATGAAGCGTATTAAAAGTCGGTTTTTTTGTCTTGTAATCAGTTTTTTAAATTAGATATTTAATACATTTATGAGTGGGTACAACATTGACAAAACTATCGAACCACTGTTTATTCGCGCTTTGATTCTTATTTGCTTATATAGAGGTTACACTAATCGATATTTAGTTGTGCAACTAAACAGTTGAATTGGCTAATCAAACTACAATCAAACAGTTGTGCGATAGTTTAGTCAAATGCCCGCTGTAGCAATCTTACTTGGTCTCCCAGTCGGCGTCAGTCGCGATGGTGACCCAGGCGTCGTCTTCTGCAGACTGCAGACGTTCCACTGCTGCATACCAGCGCCCGTGCCGGATGCTGTTGCGTGGGTGACCTGACACCTGGACAACATCCCACCTTTATTTATAAAATAACTGTTGCCTGCGACTCCGTTCGCGTGGAATAAAAAAAACAAAACTGAGTAGCCTATGTTTCCTTCCAGACTATTCTCTACATCTATGCCTAATTTGTTTTTTTTTAAGTATTTAGAAAAATTACTTATTTAACTCTCGTCATAATAGAATGGAAATAAAAGAGGTAGGAAATATTTCTCTCTCATGTCAAATCTCCTGGAAACATAACAAACTTCAAACGCTTCAAATTTTATAAAACACACATTTTGAGTTAATTCTGTCTCTGAATAAAGGTGCAATACAATGCTTATACGACTTGAAGAACCAGAAAGTTTAGTTGGTCCTTCGAGTCGGGATAACACGTAAACAATACGGAATTAACATGTTACTATAATATTATTATGACACTACTGGAGTTAAATAAATACATTTTCAGGTTTAGATGCTCAACATTTGTTGTTGTTAAAACACTAGGCGTATTTTTTGACTTTATCTAAGATAACTCAGCGATTTTGAAGCCCAGTAGTTTTTGAGTTGTTTCAATACATACAAAAACACAAAAATACAAATCTCTTTATAATATTAGTATAGATATGGGTGTAGGGACATTTTTGTGATCAAAAGATTTTTTAAAGAATCTAGTACTCAAATGCAGCCTAATTTAAGATACTTACAAAAGTGGCAGCGACAGTATCTCCGTGGCTGTAGTGCTTCTGAGGCTGCTGCAGGCAGTCGCCGAACTCCTTGCCCCAGGGCGCGGCGTCCCACAGCACCGGCGGCACCAGCGTGATCAGCTGCTCGCTGAAGTCTGCCGGCTGCGGACCTGGCTCCACTGGTCTACCCTGGAACAGCACCAGGATTTTAACAGTGGTAGAACCCGTTTTAACTTCGCACTGTAGCTCGCCAGCAATACCACAATCACACAGAAGACAGGAGTCAATTAAAGTCCCTTTCTCTTACTACCCTTTTCTTATAAGTAAAGGTTGGGGAGGAAAACTGGATTTGACGGTGGAGACGCATAGAAAGGGGAAATATCCTCTTTATGTGCGTCTCCTCTGTCAATTAAGTGTAGGCAACGCATCTGCAATTGCGGTTGTCTATGGACAGCGGTCGCTTCAGGTGGCCGCTTGCTCGTTTGCCACCTTATATTGTAAAAAAAAATAGGCTGTCCCCGTCACTCCATCCTCGTGAATAAAAAACATACCTATGTCTTCTTCCAGACTATAAACATGAACTCTGAATTTAATCTAAATCCGTTTAGGCTACTAACTCTGACTAACATCCATCCAAATTTTGACATCTTACTAATATAAATGCGACAGGTTTAATGGATGGATGTTTGTTAGTTAAACGGCTTAACTATTCTCGATGAAATTTGGCATAGATGTAGAGGATAGTCTGGAAGAACACATAGCCTACTTACTTTTTTTTTAATTCCACGGAAACAGAGTCACGAGTGAATGCTAGTTTATTTGCTTAGTTAAAAAAGGTTGGATTTATTAATGTGAAGTGTGCTAAAGTCCGTAACCTCTGCTTACTCTTTCTGTGTCGAGAGCGTGAATACTTACTTGAATGAGCGCTTCCGTGAGCTCTGTGTACTTATTGAGGTAGATGTCGAGAGTGTGAGGACCGAAGATAGTGGACGCCGCTTCGTACCGCTGTGCCTGTGGAAATAGAAAATACTTAGACTGTAAGTAGTAGCTTAAAAAGATCACTTAAGTTAATGCTTTAATAGACAGCTAGCGTAGAACTATCGTTTAGCACAAGATGAGAAGTTCGCTGATTGCCTACCTCCATTAAAGTTGCCCTTATGGTCGGTTTCCCAGTTACTTTTACCCATTAAAATTTCACCCAATTGGAACTTTAACACTATAAAATCACTAGATAAGACGTAAATGGAAACTTCAGCATTATAGAAAGAGGGACAAGGAACAATGTTTTAAGTCACCAGCATCTGTGATGGTAAGTGGATAGAGGATGGGAACATAAACTAGAAATGGCTACAAAGGTAGAGAAAGACGTAAGAAAATATGGATTGTGTGAAAGAGGATATGCTGAAGGGAGTGGATTCAGATGTGATCTGATAGAAATGGAGCAGCAATAGCCGACCCTCCGTAAGGGCAAGTCGAGATGGACACCTGATACTCCTCGGGTGTGGCGATGTAGTCAGCGTACACGTTGGCCAGTCCAGCGAGCACCACTCGTGTTCCAGCAGCCCGTGCGGCCAGTAGGCGGCGCAGACGGCGGCCCGACATGGTGGTGAACTCCCCCGGCACGGCGGCCAGCAGCAGCCCGCCCGCGCGCGCCACCGTGCATGACACCACGTGAGGTTGCCATTCGTAAGGGAACCTCGCCTGATGATGCAAAGAAACTAGGAATAGGTTCCATTATTTGCACTGGTAGTGGTCTTCAAGTAGCTGATTAATACCCCACTTCCCGTACTGTTTTTTTCACACTTGTATGGAGTTTTTTAAATATCTTGTCTCTTTTCTAACATCACAATTTTAGCTATTGCCCTCGATTCCATCCCGGTGGAAATAAAAAAAACTAAAATTGGTGGGCAGTATTCTTCCAGATTTTGCCTACATCTATGGAAAATTACACCCGTCCGTTCAATTGTTTACAGTACATTATTATTTAAGCAAAACATTTGTTAGAAATATTTCAAGAAATAGGACAAACACATTTTTTTATGAACCACATCATCTTAATATTATGAATGCGTAAGTTTAGATGAATGTATGGATCTCTATTTGAGGTTGTAGTCTAAACGGCTGAAAGGATTTCGATGAAATTTGGTATAGATGCAGAGGATAATCTGGAAGACACATAGGCTACCCACTTTTGTTTTCTTTTCCACTCAGACGAAGTAGCGGGCGACAGCTAGTACTAAAATAATTCACTTACCCTGCCTGTAGCTAGTAGTATAGGTTTGGGTGCTTGACATTCGATATCTTCCTTAGTGGGCTCGGCAATAAAGTCCCTGACTGCGTTCCACAACGGGTTGGATGTGGTAGTCCCCTGCGTGAAGTCGAAGGCGCCGGGCCCGTCCGTCGTACCCGCCGCGAAACTGTACCCCATCGCTGGTAGACACCCGGATACCTTACCGCTCTACGGATGTACGGGTCAAGTTATACTGGTTCTTTTGTTTTTAAGATTGATTATAATTTTATTTAATACTGAAATATTTTTAAATAAACATAGCCTATGTTAATCATATATAACGTAGCTATTTATTGGTGAAAGAATTTTTGAAATCGGAAGAAAAGTGTTTGAGTTATTTCAATACAAAGAAACAAATCTTTCCTCTTTATAAAACTAGTATGTAAAACGACAAAAACTCTTAAAAATCTACTGAAAAAATGTAATTATGACTATTTAACAAAAATATAGCTTCTAAAGAAAGAAGAAAACGAGAAAAGACAGTAAAAAGATAATCTGAAAAATCTGGAATTTTCCGATTATTTCAATTTACACATTTATCCAATTTTCAATAGTATAGTTAGCAGTAATACTTACAGTATTAAATGTGTCGGTAAGGGGATCGTAGGGTGCAACAACTTGTTTAGGCATTTCCACGTACTGGTGGACTACACTCACTGGGCCTGTCAGATCTTCACCGGGTTGATTCAAAACTGACTGGAAATAACGTTTTAGAAAAACTATTAACGATAAAATTCTTAAGTAAACTGTCATTTAAAAGATTTAGGACCTGTCCACCCAAATTGTAAATTGTCACAACAATCCAACTTGTAAAATCATCATCACCAGCTATACGTCCCCACTGAGGGGCTCGGAGCCTACCCTAAGTTAGGGTGACTAGGCCATAGTCAACCATTCTAGCCCACTGCGGGTTGACTTCACATAAATATTTGAATTTCTTCGCCGATATGTGCAGACATCACGATGTTTTCCTTCACCGTAAGAACGTCGGGTAAATTATGTATGTATGAAAATTCGAAATATTTAAAATCACATTGGTACAGCGGGATTCGAACCCAAGACCTGTTGATTACAAGTCAAGTAAACCACTGAGCCACCGACGCTTTTTGCACGTGAGAAATATGTGATGGAAATATCGGATTTTGTTACCTTATCTGAGTGACGTCATTTTTAAACTATCTGAGACTCTATCAGCCTATGGTGGGACAGACACTTAAAAATGACCACTGTTTATTTGTTTCGAAGTAAAATTATGTTAAGTTTTAAACTGTTTGGTTGACTGATGAATTGTCAAAAATCTAAATATCTGTTAATACACTTTACTAAATAAAATTGTTCAGGTAGGGGGCACATCTGACTGAACTATCGCACAACTGTTGTGCGATTGTCGATAGTCGAAGACAATTCAACTGTTTAGTTGTACAATTAAAAATCGAGCAGTGTTTCATTTAAGCTTATAGGAATCAATAACAATAGTATTTATTTATTTAAATTTTGTTCACAAAAGAAAACAATTTTTATTAATACGTATTAGAAAGTTGTAGTACAAGTTATAAGAGTTATCTTATAGATAACCTAATAGATACAGAGAGGATATTTAGCAGGTAATAACAGTTGTGACATAGTTTAGTCAAAGGCGTTGTTACCTCCACGGGTCAGTAATGCGAAGAGGTCTGTGTAACATACCATAGCGGTATCAAACAATTTGGTGGCGATAATCCGTGTGCTATCAAACATGTCCCTCCCCGGGCCGGAGGCGAAGCAGCGCTCCTTGTGTCCGCAGAGCGAGCTCTGGTCGCAGGCGCGGCCGCTGAACTCGCACACCGGGCCGCGCGTGTTGGGGGATACATCGCCCAGGTTAGTAGACGAGAATGCGCATACCACGCTACCCTGGATACACAGTTATACTTGGAACGCAGTTCACAAATAGCACTCAATAACTGAACTGGCGTAATGTGAACACTTGGCGCCAGTACTGTTAAGAAAATTGGTACCGCGCTGTAGAATTGGGGCAACACTAGATTGTCGGCGTACACGTCACTTCTCTAACTGACAGCTGTCAATGTCATTAGGATTGATTCGCGCGCATTTCTAGCGAGTTCTCTAGTGGAGTGTTTAAATGAATATCGCTAGTTACAATTATATCAATTGCTTAAAAGAACAATCTATACCTGGTTTGCGTTACTGACCAAGTGTGAATCAGAACAAGCTAGATAAAAGAAGACGAGGAATTTATGTAGAAAACTTGGATTCTTAAAGTTTCTCCCTGTCGTGAGAAGTGTCTTAAGATGTTAAAAATATGTTACACACTTTATTAATGTAGATACGATCATTAACAGTTAAGCCTGGTTTTAAATCTTCTTACGATTGGGCTCGCCCAGTGCAATAACTCGACCACACAGAATACAGGCGGGAAATAGAAGAAACTTCGAGTTTAGTCTGAATTACGAGCCGGAGCCTTAATCCTCTTCCTTTTTTTACTTTCCGGGGGAAAGTATGGAAAGGGGAAGAGGTTTTGACAAGCTATGGGAAAATACCCTTATTCTATGCATCCCCCCTTTTTGTGGATTAAAGGTACGCAATATATGAAAATGCGGATGTCTATGGATAGCGGTTGCTTCGTTTTTGGCTAATAACCTTATGCTATAAATAACAGTTGCTATATCAAGTGATCTGGTTTCCAGAATACTTACCTTTCCAGGTAAAGTATTTTCTCCATTCAAAGCTTTCTCCATAAGTATAGAGGCGTATCCGACATTATCTGAGGAGATGAGGCGGTTGGTGTTGTTCATGCTGGTGGGGTGCACCGCGAACCAGTTAATAACCCCCAGCACCTTGTCCTGCGGGCCCAGGAACCGAACCTGCGCGAGGGTCTTGTCTACGTCGTATTTATATCTGGAAATTATTGTATAATCCTAAAAAGACCAACTAAAGTAGGAATCTCGAAGGTTGTCAATAACAATACTGATGCAGATAGCTTATTTTGAGCCTCATTATCATCTACTAGCTGTTGCACGCGACTTCGTCTACGTAAAAAAAAAATGAATTAATATAGTCTGCTACTCACTGATAACGTAGCTTTTTAATGGTGATAGAATTTTTGAAATCGGTCAAGTAGATTTTGAGAGACAAAAATCCAAATATACAAATTTTTCCTCTTTATAATATTAATAATTTCGATATAGATATATTTAGGATAGAATCATCATCAACTTGCCCTTATCCCTGATGGAGGGTCGGCACAGTATGTGCTGCTCTTCCATACATCTCTATCAGCCGTCATATCTGAATCCACTCCTTTCTTAAGCATATATTTAGGATAGAATTATGTATAATGTTCCTAATATGGTCTTCTCATTGTCTCCTAGATGTTGGCAATCTGCCAACAATTGCGATAGTAGTTATTCAAAAAAGGTATTGATTTTAATCCGTTTGTATTTGAATCGCTAGATGTTAATATGTTAAGCATGTTTTTTTTTATAGTATAAGGGGGGCAAACGAGCGGCGTGTACACCTAGGTGGTCAACGACGCCCATGGACATCCGCAACACCAGAGGAACTACAGATGCGTTGCCGGCCTTTGAGGAAATGATAGGCTCGCTTCTTGAAGGACCCTAAGTCGTATTGGTTTGGAAATACCGCCGAGGACAGACTGAAGCTAGGAAGAGACAGATTGCATGGCATGATCAAGTAAGAAATGACGGAGGATAATTCAATCTGCAGGGATTCCCGTGCGTTTCTCGGAGATCCCGGAACTGACTCCTATTACACTAGAGGCTGGCCGAGGGAATTTTAGTAAGCCAAACCCCACTTTACCCTATCTTTTCCCAGAAGTCAGGGTATCTTTTGAAGATTTACCGATACCAAAAAAAGTCAGTCTAAAGGATGAAAACTTAGAAAATAAAGAGAGTTCTGATGATGCAGTTAAATGTTTGACTCACTTGGCTCTCTCCTCCGGTGGGTTGCGGAGGTAGGAGGTGGGAGATCTATTTATGTTGGCGTCAAGCAGCACCCCCTCCGCGTACTCAAGGCGCGCGGGCTTCATGTTACTGTGTGCTATGTAGATGCTCTGTGAAATGGCGAAGTCAATGTATTTCTTGAGGTCTTGATTGGTGTAATATTTCAAACGTATATCTAATAAATCGATCCGAAAATTAAATTGCAATATTTTTAAATAGACTAGTTGTTGCTTGCGACTTGGTCAGCGTGTTATTAAAAAAAATAGTAAAAATATAGCCTGTTACTAAGTGATAACATAGCTTTAAAGGTTGCAAGAATTTTTGAAATCGGTCCAGTAGTTTTTGAGTTATTTCAATACATACAAAAATAAAAATCTTTCCTCTTTATAATATTAGTATGGATATAGAAGTAGATTAGTACTTGGCGGGTTATCTAGGACTTCTAGAAAGATCTAGCTAACCACTTCACCACTAACAGTCTATTACGTTTCAATACCTTAAGTATTCCAGCAATGTAAGCGACATATGTCTCTTTAACAAAGCCGAGTATAGGCAGATCGAACAGGAAGTCCATAAGGAAGCCGCCCGGCGTGGAGTGCGTGTGTGTCCCGCTCAGGATTACGTTATTCTCCGTGTACAGGTCGCCGAATCGCTTTTGCAGACGCTTTAAAACCTGCAGAAAAGCTGATTACTAAGACGGAAGTGACGCATAATTGCCAAAACTAATTGGACGTAACACTAAGGTAAAAGAAACAGGGTGGTAATTAACTATAGTAATTGGACCTCTTTTCTGATTCCGTTGCCCATCATAGCAGCATCTACAGAGACGAATACTAGCCGGCTGTTGTCATCAGCCAGTACGAAAGCGCGCGAGAACTGTCGCAAGTGAATCCCTTGCCCGCTCTGCTCGAAGTTCGCGTACCCCATCTGAAATAATATTGTTTAAAATTTATATAAAACGAAAATCATTAAATTTATTTTAAAGTTAGTTCTCGTGCGCAATTTGTTTTAAGTGCCATCTATCGGTACTTTATAAAAATAATGACATGAACTGTTTATTCGTAACTTAAGTTTTATATTTTGTACCGAGAGATGGCGTTAAGAGTCTGAAAATGCATTGCCCACGCTGGCCTGTACCACAAACCACAAGGACTTTTCATTTAGTAAAGGGTCTTTAATAACAATGTCATACGACTATCTCAGGCAAATATAATTTTTTACAGAGGCTACAAGTTCATGATCTAGTCACTAGGCATAGTCACACCAATCGTAACTATGTTGCAAAAATATTTTAAAACCAGCTTTCGCCTGCGACTCCGTCCGCGTCGAATTAAAAAAAAACAAAAGTAAGTAGCCTATGTGTCCTTCCAGGCTATCCTCTAAGTCTATACCAAATTTCATTAAGATCCGTTCAACCGCGTAGACTACAAACTCTAACAAACATCCATCCATCTAAACTTTCGCATTTATTAGTTAGTAAAATTTGCAGATAGGGGTTTCAGGACGAGGACTGACCACGCTTAAAAATCAAGAAATTGTACACTTCTTCTAGTTAGTTTATTTTAAATGTTTAAACATAAAAATATAAAAAAGTTTATCACGACGTGATACGTCGTAGTCAATAATCTTCTGCGATATCGAATTTAAACATTAAAATAATATTTCTTTGACAATATCAAAGATTAATTTGTAATCCTATCCAATCCATAATCATCTAATTCCACACTAGCTGTTGCTCGGGACTTCGCCAGCATGAAATTAAAAAAATATAGCCAATATTACTCACAGATACATTACATTTCTAAGGTGAGAGAATTTTAAATTTGACCCAGTAGTTTGTGAATTATTTCAATACATACAAAAATACAAATCTTTCCTCTTTACATTAGTATAGGTTAATATAGCCGCAACTTTACTGCGTTTTTGATTTATTTAATCTTATGTGATGTTGATTTAGCCTTGAAGCATTCTTTACATTATAACTTGTAACTTGCTTACTAACGCGACTTTGTGCCTTACTTCTTATAGCGACGAAGTACAGATGAATTACTTATTAGTCTTGTGTAGTACACGTACGATGTACTAAAAAGTAGTGTTACTCGGCACTGTACTAAAAGTAACATTTGGCACCTACTTAGTACACAGTGAAGTAATCTATAACCCTCGTTATATTCTATTCATGTTATTATGTTCTCACAAATCTGAAGTACTAAAAGTGTGTACTAGTACGTTTTCCCAATTGTACTAGTACGGTGCGCACTTGCAGATGTCCGATTAAGCCCAAGACTTACGAAGCCGATTTCAGCTGGAGGTCCGGTGACGTCAGCGATGCCCACGCCCACGCGAAGCGCGTGAGCAGCGCACACGCCGACTACGAGACATAACAATGTCAACATCTGGAACAAAAGTTATTATGAATTATCGCAACTATTTTAAATATTGCTCGCGACTTTGCGTGAAATTAAAAAATAATAAAATCATAGCCTATGTTACTGATAACGTAGCTTTTTAATAGTTCAGTAGTTTTTGAGTTATTAAAATACATAGAAAATAATCTTGTATCTTTATAATATTAGTAAATAGTACTTTGATGTAGCTAAATGCATTACTATTGGTAATTGTTCAGTTAAGCATTTACGGACTCTGACAAAACTTCAAATTCCTCTAAAAATGTGATGTTTTCGCAAGACGAAATAAAACATAAAGATTTTTATAAATTAATAAGGGTCTGTCCCACCAAATTGTAAATTATCTGATAACAATCCAAAGTGAAAAAAATGTGATGGAGATATCGGATTCTGTTACCTTATCTGATAGTGACTAAGCTATCTGAGCCTGTATCAGCCAGTAGTGGGACAGGCCCTAAATTAACTGTTATACGATTATACTACCATTACTTAAAACAATAGTATATGAAATACAAATCATTTGCTTATTTACATTACTCATGCTGGGTTTCTGAAGTCTCCATTTATTTTGTCAATACCCAGCGATTCATTAGTGTTGTCTTGATCTAAGTTTCAACGGAGTAAAACTCAAGTTACGTAGTTCGGTAACATATTTCATGAAGTAATCGAACTAAAAATACTAACCAATGGTAAACGTAGCTTGGAAACCGGACATAACTAATGAATCATTTAATGAATTTGTGGTAATTAGAATGCTATTATAGTATACCAAAACAATCATGAGTAGTTGCAGTAATTACATTTTTCACACAAACGTAAGCTCATTTTTGTGCTTTGTACAAACCGTAAATTTAATTACAATCTGCAGTAAACAAGTAGTTTTAGATTATTGCTACACCATTTCTGAATTAAATAAAAAAATAATCCACACTACGTACTCATCACCACCAGCTCACTATACGTCCCCACCGAGGGGTTTTTTTTTTGTGACTGAATGGCCACTGTTTGCCTTGAAGAGGCATTTACAGATTCACTGGGCTTGAGGTGGC